CCACCCCCAAAAAAATTAATTAATTGTTTAGCCTTTAGTTGGAATGTTGCAATTCCAGTCTCCCAGGGAAATGTTGTTATAAATATAATAACTGACGTAATTATTGCAGTGAATTGTTACAAAGCAGGAGATGTGGGGCACATGCCCCACAGTCCCCAAACCACCTTTTATTTGGTTTTTCAGCCCAATATTTCTTTATCACTATGTCAGTGCTAACCTACAGCTGCCCCAAAGCACAAGCCATGGCATTTCTAAAATATTTCCCACGACACAACTCTCTTTTTCATATTGAGAACCAATCATTTGATGATTTTTAAAAAAATTATTTCTTAACTTCAGCTGTTTGAGACATTCTCTAGTCACCCATATCCTTCAGGAAGAATTTTACACTTCTGTTTTGTGTCCTTGCTGCAGACTGGCTGCATGGTTCTGTGTTTTGCAATGTGGAATGTGATCTGCTTACTCACCATATTTGTGGTTTTAGAAATCAGTTAGTTAATACAAACAGGCTTGACTTTATTCTTTTTTGTTTGGGTTGTTCTTCCCTGGGAGTTTCCTCTGTGGCCTTAGGTAGGTCCCTCGAGATCCTCTTCAGAGCCATAACAAAGTTATGTTCAATTCCCAGGGGCTGCTGCCTCTGTGGGTCTGCCTTAGCTTCTGGTGATGTAATTTCTCGGTTTTTAAATGGGAATAGCAGCAGTGTTACCCCTCAGAGAAATGAAATTCAGGTAGATACGTTATGGCCAAAATTCACTTGTACCAAAGGCTGGAGTTATGTGAGCAGACAGACCTGGGTGGAACAGAACTTTAATTTGTGCTCCACACAAACAGTGGCACGGTGAAATGTCTTGAAAGCAGGAGCCAGAGCTGTCTTGGGAATGCTGGTGATAAGCTGGGAATGCTGCTCTTGTGTAGCCAGGTACCACAGGCACAGCTCCTGCTCAGTCACAGCACAAGTGGAGGCACGGGTTGGGAAGATTTCTTAGATAATCACACTTTTTTCAAAAGACTTTTTTTTTTTTTTTTTTTTTTTTCCCAAGCTGTGAATCATCAGTTCTATTTCCAAGTCTGGGCTGCTGAGCAGGGAATGAGCAGTTTGCCCACCAGGAACGGTGCCGAGGTTGTCAGTGCTGGTGTGGTTCTTGGCAGACCCCTCCCAGAGCTGTTAACAGTGTTGTAGTTGTGCAGGGGGGGCAGGTCTGAGGCTCTGCGCCCTGGCAGAGCTAAAACAAGAATAGGCAATGTGCTAATATTGTCAGGAATAGTCTTGCTTTGGCAGGAATACAGATTAGACTACCTGATAAGTCATCTTAAAAAAAAAAATGTCTAGTCTTTGAGTCAGTGTTACAGTACCAGGAATCCTACTTAAAAAAAATAAAAAAGCCAACACTGATTTTTTTTTTTTTTTTTTTTAATACAGTAAATATAAAGGTGATCCCAAAGAAATCCTTATGGGATAAGAAATTAGGAAATATGAAGAGATTTCTGCTGGTCTTTTTTGTTAGGCATAAGGGTGGAGTGTGCATCTCTCCAAATAATTCTGGCTCCAGAGGCATTTCTTGTCTTACCCTTTTAGAGCAGCAGAGTCCATTAGAGAACACGTGTACGTGTCAGGCTTTAACAATTCCATGCAGTCAGTGTGTGGCAACTGGGGACCAAGCTGCATCCTGATGTTGTGATTCCCTTGTGATGCGGGTGAAAAGGCACGGGGAGATTCCAGTACTGTGGGGAAAGGCAGCAGCAGGAAACATGTTCCATCATTCCCCACTCTCTACCCTCCTTCCAGCAAAGGAAGGAACCTTTGCTGGAAGGAAGCTGGAGAGTGGGGAATGATGGAACAAAAAAAGCAGCACAAGGATGGAGGGGTCAGTTGGGTTGGTCTGGCCTTTGGAGGTTAGAACAAGGAGCTGAGATTGGATTGCAAAGGATTGAATTTGTATCAAACTCCCCTCCAAAGCTGGAATCCTGTGGGCTCTCTGGACTGACTTCTGAGAGTGGCTCATTGAAGCTGAGGGGAGCCAGGCCTGTTATGATGAAACAGTGATTTTCTACAGACTTCAACTGTGCCTTGTTGGGCTGCAGCACCGTCTGTGCTGGATGAGGTTTTAGCAATTCTTCCCTTGCAGAAGCCCTGCTTAGTGCCTGAGTCCCTGAGCAAGGGAGGCTTGTTTGAGCCTGCTGCCCTCCCCGTGCTGCTCACTCAGCCCTGCCTTGCCCAAGGCTCTGAGCTGGGTTTCATCACAGAGGTGTCAGCCTTGGGTTCCCTGGTGTTCCCTGGAGTATCCTCCGTGCTGAAGGGACAATGGTGTAAAAGTAAAATTCACCTGGGCACCTTTAAATGAAATCTTACCCCCTTGTTTTCAAGGATCTGGAAATGAGACAACAGATCAGCTTGGAGCAGCAAAATTTTGGTGACTTTTATCTTCCACAAGTTATTACTCAGAAATTACTCATTAATGGGATTCATCTTATATAACCTTTAAACACAGAGCAGAGAATGAATTTGATAAATAATCTGAAAAAAAAACCCCAATAAAAGTAATTTATCAGCAAAATTACTGTGAGGTTTGTTTTTGCTAAGAAAGTGGACTTGTTTCATCACCTGCCAAAGTTTTATGCAAATAGTCCAACCCGAAGCACAAGTATTTCTGATTGGTGGTGTTTGCCTTGGAAGCTCCTTGTTTCATTAGCTGGTGGTGCTGAGCTGATTGATTAGAGTTGAGGAGATGTTAAATGATGGTCTGATGTTGAAATGTTCCTTTTGCACCTGTAAGATCATTCAAGATCAGCTGAAGGCCAATAAGGCAAACAGAAGGGCTGCCTGTTTCAGGTGGGGGCAAGCACCAAACAGCAGGAGGATTTCTGAGAGGAGCCGTGGGCACATCAGCTTTCATTTCCATGGGAGCTGTCTGAGAGCTGTGCTTTGTTTTGGGAGCACCGAGTCAGCCATGCAGGGGTTAAGGGGGGAATGCAAACAGAAGAGTCAGGGATGTTCACCCAGCCTGAGTGCTTCCCTCAAGGGGAAGATGCTTTCTTGGCTCTGCAGCGAGGGAGAGAGGAGCAAATAACTCCTGTTGTACCCACCTGGAACCGTGACAGTGATGTTTTAATCTTCTGAAGTGAACAAGTTCCTATGGCTGGGTAAGAATTCGCCTGTGAAATGGCTGATTCTGTTGGTGATACGTTCTTCCTTTAATTAAATAGCTGACTTACCTTGACAATTAATTGGAGTGATGTATGATTTTTATTAGAAACCCATGACTAATTTTTTCTTGCCGTTCCTGCTATCTTATTGTTCTTGTCTCCCCTCCTCCCAAGTTCTGCTGCGTGCCAGCTGTGTCCTCCAGGCACTGGTGCAGACCAGTGTTCCCTCTTGCTTACCTGTTCCAGATAAAGTCATTGTTTTCAGGCATTTTCCACATCATCTTTCAGAAATTTTCCATTTCATCACAGTTTTGCAATTTTTTTGTTTTCAGAGTCTGGGATTCTTTACTTAAAAAAACCCCACCAATCACAAACTCATCAAAACATCACCACAACCCCCCCCACTGTGTAATGTAGTTTGCTTCCTTTAATACCACATTTCCTACTTCATTAAAATAACTGCCAGGTTTAAAAAATCCTCCCTGCAGTCATCTCTGTGCCTGTAATCTGCTAGGAAACTCAAGTGATTTTTATATTTAATTACAACAGGCAAGATTCAAAATGGATGTGACTGAAGACATTTCTGTTAAAATCAGAGCAGCAGCTACAAGGACTCAGTTTGTCCCTTATCCTGCTCTCCCTGGCTGAAAGGAGCTGAGGCTCAATCCTCTCTCTAACCTTGCAACAAATGATGTGGACTATTCTTTACATTTTTTCCACTTAGGAAGCTTTAGTCTTTTTATAGGAAATTTGTTTCCATGGGGGAACTTAGGCATGGATGAGTGGGGAACAATGCATTGTTTGTTAAAACAAATTTTTTTGAAGGGAGTGGGCTTGAAAGGAAGGAAATGTGGTTTAGATTTAAGTTTCTTTTGAAATTTATTCCTCTTCTTTTGCCTCATCCTCCCCACCCCCCAAAATGCAAAACAAAAATTCTAACAACCAGAAGTCTCCAAATTGGCTTTTCACCACGCACATCTTTAAAAGATTTGGTATAATCTGGAAAGCTAGAAGAAGTTTAAAAATCACTGTCTTGTGTATCCTTCCTTTCCCTTCCCTTCCCTCTCTGGGTTGTTCTCCCTCAAGAACATGCAGTTTTTGTCTCAGCTTTTCTAGTCCCTGTGTTGGGCAGGGTTTATTTAGTCTGCCTCTGGTGTGTGTGTGTAAAGTTTAAGCCTCAGTTTATCCACGTGCTTAAGCCCTGTGCTGAATGAGGTCCTTGCGTCCTCTGGTCCCTGGGCTGTTCATTCCCAGGGTGGCTCTGGGAGGAAGAGCCCTGTGGGGGTCGGGTGGGGGTGCAGATTCAGGGGGAGGAAGCTCAAGGCAGGAACACAGCTTAATTTTTAATGGGCTGCATTTAAAGCCGGCAGTTGGCTGGAAATCTCTCTCTCTGCCTTTCCCTGAAGGTCTGTGCAAGAGCTGCTGTGGGACAATCTCCTCCCTGGTGCTGGCTGCCATGGCTGACCCCGTCGCTGAGGAAAGTGTGTCCCAAGTCCCCGAGCTGTGCTGTGAGTGTGGCCAGGCCCACCCCTTGCTGGACAATCACCTGTACAACTTCCAGGACGAGGTGGACGATGAGCTCATCTGCCACATCTGCCTGCAGCCCCTGCTGCAGCCCATGGACACGCCCTGTGGGCACACGTACTGTTTCAAGTGCCTTGAGAACTTCATGCAGGAGTATAACTTCTGTCCCATGGATCGCAAGAAGCTCTCCTTCCAGCAGTGCCACAAGTCCAGCCTGCTGGTGAGGAACCTGCTGGATAAGCTGGTTGTGCTGTGTCCTTTCAAGGCTGAGTGCCAGCAGACCATGCAGCGCTGTGAGCTGGAGGCTCACCTGCAGAACAGGTGCATTCCCCTTTCCATCCTGTTATTCCAGGGCTGCTGTGCTCTTATCAGAGCCATCCGTTCTCAGAGCAGCTTCCTAAACTGGGGCAAGGTGGGACACTAGAGAAGCCAGGGTGAGGCTGCAGAGGTGGGTGGGTGAGGACAGTGTAATTGTGTGTGTGCTCTGAGCTGCTCACCTTCAGCCTGTCTGCAGATGCTAAACCTGTCAAACACCCAGACATCTGTGGGTCCTGAACTGGGCCACCAGCTCTGGAGTTGTTGCAAACAAGCTTATTCTTGTTTCCCTTGTGCAGAGAAGAAAGGCACAAAGTCAAGGCTCTGAAAGCAAGGGATTGTGCAGTGCTGTTTAATTGGTCCAATTAAGATATGCAATACGTCTGTCTTTGATTCAAATAGTACAAGTCCCTCCAAGCTGCACATTATGCACTTGCTGAAACACCCACTTATAATTCCATTATCTTCTCTCATTCTTTTGCTGAGAAGGAGAAGCAAATTAAAATTGCTGTGTTTTTTCTGTCCCACTTGTGTAGAGGAAGGGAGACTTTTTGGTGCTTCCCTGCTGGTTGAGCTGTTGGCAGGCAGGACATTGTCACTTTAAAAGGAGCGCAGGTGACAGAGATCTTGCCATGGTGCTTGGAGAACCCTTGTTCCTACCTGGTTAATGATTTGCAGGGAGGGGAGCTAAGTGCAAGCCCTGCTGCAGGTGGAACAGACCTTGCTTGGTAGGGTGTATTTGTCAGCAATGGGAAATGCCACAGGCTTGTTTCATTCAGCTGTGTTGTAGTTTGTTGTGGCAATGACATATTTTAAAAATAAGCCAACCAGGGAACAGGTACACTTTGGATATCTTTGCAGCTCCAGCCAACTATGTACCCTTGTGATTTTCATTGTCTTCAGTCCCCATGAGCTGAGAGCTCGTGTTAGAGCCAGGGGAAAGGATGGAAGGTGCTTGGGTGCCCCTTTTCCATTCAGTGAAAGTTTATAATCTCCTTTTTCTTGAAGCAGCCCTTTGTCCTGGCTGCTCGGGCTGGGGCCACAGCTCACACCAGGGCTGGGCCTTCCTCTGCTCTGCAAATCTGCCTGGCTATCAGTAAACTCCTGTCACTCTGTAATCGCTCTAGCACAGGAGTTACACATAGGGGAGGGAGGGAGGGAGCCACCTCAAATGTTTACATTAGAGACCTGCCTGGAAACTGTATCATTCTCTTCTATATTCCACAGTTGTTTGTATCTTTCTTGGGGACAGACTATTCTAAGATTCGAGGCTCTTTCGCCTGGGCTGTGGGTGCAAGTGGATCATCAGACTGAAAAATAGGAAGGAAAAAAAAAACAGATAAGAAAATAGTACTGGGATTTGGGTGCTTTTTGTTTTAAGTGAGATTAACTGATAGGAGAAGATTTAAGGAAATAAGAAGCACATAGTAACTTATTTTCTTGGGGGATTTCCCTGCCTTTTGCAAATTGAATTTGTGTTTTGATATCTTAAGAGGGACATGTGCACAAGTGCATCATTCAGCTTCTGTCATTAAGTTCAGGGTTATTTTACTGCTTGGAGAATAAATGAATAGGGTTAAACCAGAGGAAGTAATACTGGGATGGGGCTTCTTTAGCCAGAGTGTAAATAGTTCAGTTTAATTTGAAAAGTGACTCTGATAAACACCCAATACTACTCATGTCTCTGAAAGTGGTGTTTTTGCATATATCACCTCCTCACCTTTTTTAATAAATACCTGTGATAAAAGAGCTGTTCTTCCTCACCCATTAGTGCTGAGACAGGCTGGGGATGTATCTGCATCCAGGGCACATTTTGTGTGTACAGTTATATCCCAGTTCTGGGACCTGTGGGGAGCAGTCACTAGGATTAGGAATTCAACTACTCCCATTCAGGTAGAGCCATCACCTGCATGGCCTGGGAGTGCACCAGGTCCAGGGACAGCTCTCATTCCACAACAGAAAATGCCCAATCCTCCCTTGCTGCTCTTGTGTGTTAAAACAAAGCCTAATTCAAAGCTGAGCTTGAAACTTGAGCCACTTTCTTTGTATCAAGGTACAGTTCATAGTGATCTCTACAACGTCAGAGCTCAGTATTTGCTTATATTTAAGGATTGTTTTCTTTATGGATTGTTTGCCAGGTGAATATTTAGCAAAGGAGACTCCTGTTTCTATTACATTCTTATTTTTCAAATAATTTGCTTAATAATTTCAAAAGTGGTGAAATAACAAGCCTGCACTTAAGCTGATACTTGTATAAGTAGAAGCTGAAGGTCAAATGAGAATCAGGTTTATCATCTGAGAAACCAGGACTGCACTGGTGAGATCTGGAACCAGCTTCTTCCCACAGGTTTGTCAGAGCTTTCCTGTGCTGGGTCACCTGCCCAGGCAGAGACAGTCACTGACAGTCCCTGCCAATCTCTCTCCAGGTGTCCTGGGTTTAAGAAATACAAATCTGAACTTCAGCGGAAGAGGAATCCCATTTCCAAAGGGAAGGAAGAGCCTCCTGCCAAGGGGGACACGAACACGCCCAAGGATCCAGAGCTCTCAAGTGGAGGCTCCTCACTTGTGGCAGAAAGCTCTGGAGCTGCTGTGGTGTCACTGGGGACTGCAGAGCCTGGACTGGTTAATCCAGCTTTTGAGGAGACTGAAGAAGGTGAGAGTTTGGCACAGAAGTGGAACTATGTATTTATCTTTTATGATATACAAATGAGGCAATTATCTCAGAAAATTCAATTTTTAAGTGTCCCCAGCACTGTCAGACATCCTTAATGCTACCCAGCCATTAGTAGTCATCAGAGGCATCCCTTCCTTCAGAAGGGGGATGCATTCATGTGCATCAGGGGTGGCAGAGTCTGCTCACAGGCACCAAATTGTACAAAACCATTTGGAGAAACTCTGGGAGACTGCAGTGAGCATTTGCAGTATTCTGTGGAGAAACAAAGGCAGTCCCTGTCAATGTGAACGTGGAGCACTTAAAGCCTTTGCAGAAGCCAGATAATTAGTAACTAGGAAGTGTTCCAGGTTCTTGTTAATCTTGTTAAGAAAGTTAAATATACAGTCAGTTTCCTGGAGTGGTCAGTACCTCCCTCCTGGTGTTTTTCTAGCATAAGTTAGGTTTTGATTAACAGGCAGCTCTGGAAGCCTTGCAGATCAAATCACCATCTCCACTTCAGTGTAGCAGCACTTGTCTCAGCTTGGTAGGAGGCAGCAGCATGGAAACCTCAGTGCCTTGTCTCAAAGTTAGGCTCAACTGGCAGCCCCTGTGCCTGGGACAGAGGTAACTCACAGGTCAGTTCAGTTCCCTGTTGGCTTTTTCCCAAAGCACACCTGGAGCAGGTTTTGCATCCCTGGTGTGACACCTGCCCTTCACCCTGCCAGGCACTGCTGGGCCTGCCTGAGTGTCCCCGTGCTGGGAGATCTCAGCCCACTTGCTAACAGCAACTTTCATCTTCAAAGTGCAGCATTGCTTCATCTCCAGTATGCTGTGAAACAGCCAAACATTCCTCCTGTTTTACAGGGGGGATGGGAAAAGGGGAGCAAAGGAAATTAGAGGAAGGAAGTTGCAGAGCAGTAATTATAGCTGGGTAGTCCCTTTCCCTCATGGGCATCATGGAAACTGGAATTTGCTATGTGCGTGCTTCTAGCAGGCCAGCTATCACAGGAGAAAAACAAATCCCTAAATATAGCCCAAGCATTCTGAATGCCTTTTAATAAACCCCAAGCAACAACAATAAAGAGTCTGAATTCACCAAAAGCTAGGAGAAAATGGGAAAAATTCTGGAGAAACTCTGAGGAAACAGAGGGGTTTTAAACTTTTTATGTGACCTTAGGTCTCCTGATAGGTGTTTTCCCTCCAGATGCTATATTGAAAACAACCTGCCAGGGCTTGAATCTTGGGGAGCTGTGTAAAGGAAAATACTGTTAATGTGTTGTTTTTTCTCTTCAATTTCCACAACCAGACCTTCCTCAGAGAACCAGTCTTGTGGCTGAAACTACCACCATCGAAATCCACCGGGAAGATCCAGAGGAAGAGCTGGGGATGAGGATAGTTGGGGGTAAGGACACCCCCCTAGGGAACATCGTTGTTCAGGAAGTGCTGCGGGACTCTGTGGTTGCTGCTGATGGAAGAATTGCTCCTGGAGACCACATCCTTGAGGTAGGGAAACCCCCCTGGTAGCCCCATTGCTTCCCTTGACTGGGGGAGGAGAGTGCCTGGAAAAACTGGGAAATCTCTGCAGCTGAGGGTTTTAGAGCACTGCTCAGACCTCTGTGTCAGCAGCATTGTGTGTCTGCTGGGGCTCAGGAACCCTTTTGGCATTCCTTCCAGTCAGACTCATATTTCTCTTGCATATTTGACAGCTTTTTGAAATGTAGGCTGTTTTGGATAAAGTAAAAGATTCCTACCTGATAAATTTCACACAGCAGCCCCATTTCTCTGCTCCAGTTAGGAAGTCTCATAATTGCTTGCTCCACTGTGTTGCTTAAGCTGCATATTCTCCATGGGCAGGTCCAGGGTGAGAGCTGCTGACTGGCAGTGAGTATCAGCTCCAAAATGTGAGTAAAAGCAGAGCTCCTGCCTGACCCACAGCCAGGGCACTGCCCACACCGGCAGGGCTGTGTGGCCCTGGGTGACTGAGGTGACACCTTGTACACATGGTGGCAGCTGTTAGCACCTCCAGCCATGGCTGCCCAATCATCTGCCAAGCCATAAATCCTCCTTGTCCCATGGGATTGGGCATCAGGAAGGGCTGGCATTCCCCACACTAGTGGCTGATGAGATCTCTGAGTTTGGTTTCTCAGGCAGACCAATGGAGTGACTCCTGTTTTACCCAGCTGGATTGTCCATGTCTCAGTCTCAGCAAGCAGGGCAGGTCCCACACTTAGGAGCTCTACTGACATCCTAAAAGACTGCACACAATCTTATGTGACAACAAGCAAAGCAAAACATTGCCTTCTCAGTCACCCTGGTAAAAGCATAATTAAGTGGATGATTCCAGAAACTTGTAGACTATGGACCACTCAAAAGTGGAGGTTTGGGTCTTCTCCACGGCTGTACTGAGTGCTGGAAATTAAGGAAAAGCAGATCTGCATTTACACGGCATGGAAGGGATGACTGAACATTTTAAGCTTGTTAGCTGTGTGGGTTGTCCTGTCTTGTCCCTGTCCTCAGTTATTCACCATTTACAGTCTAATTCCATCAGCTTTCTTCATTCTTTTTTAAAAAACTTTGCTCCCTGATGTGCATCAGAGTCAGAGATTGCACAGGGAGTTTTCCATCCTGCTCCAGCCTGGCCATGCCCCACACTGTGGACAGTGCCTAATTAATGTGGGCTCTGATTAGTGAGTGCTTTGTTTGTCTTTGTAGGTGAATGGCGTCAACATCAGCAGCGTGACTCACTGCCAGGCTGTCTCCTTCCTGCGCCACCCAGGCCCTGTTCTCCACCTCATGGTCCTGCAGGAGAAGGGCTTTTCCAACAGGACTGCACAGCAGGATTCCCCTTCCACAGCCCGGGAGGTGATCCACGTCACCTTGGTGAAGAGAGACCGATCGGAACCGCTGGGAATCAAACTGATCAGGAAGACTGACGAGGCAGGGATTTTCATCCTGGATCTCTTAGAGGGGGGCTTGGCAGCCAAGAATGGGAAGCTGAGCCGGAATGACAGAGTCCTTTCAATAAATGGTCAGGATTTGAGGCAAGGAACTCCTGAGGCTGCTGCCCAGATAATCCAGGTGAGTTCAGACATGGAGAGGCTGTGTGGAAATGGCTGTGAGTGGCTGGTGGCAGGGCCCCTGTTCTGAGCCAGGGCTAACAGAACACACCAGGACAAACTGCATTCCCCCAAATCTCTGTCATGGAAAGTGACTCCCCTCTGGATGTGTGGGAAGCACCACTTCCAAACGAAGATAAACACCAGGAGTGGGAGTCTGTGGTGAGTCAGCCCTGACAGGTCTGAGGGGAAGCAGTGGCTCATGGCACAGGAGTTCATCTGAGGAGATTGCAGCTCCTGTCTGGTGTTTGCAGCCTCTCAGCCTTGCACAGGGAATGTTGGGATGCACTGTGTGGATTCATGCAGCAGACAGGGAGGGATCAGGGCAGCCTCTTGTGCTTCCAACAGTCACACTGAAGGTGCTGGCTGGGAGATGGGATGGGCTGGCAGCACGGAACAGATCCCTTTGGGCTGATTTGAAGCCCTTTCTCCCCATTTCACCTGTATTTGTGTAGAGACTGGAAAACATGGAGCACTGCAGGCTAAAAGCATTCCAATGTACTGAATGGGTAGAAGAGGGGTGGTCTTTCCCTGTGGAATGTGCTCCTGTTGCAGCATGCCAGACGTTTTGGTGGAAGGAGTGGGCAAGGAATTTTAGTTAAAGGATTAAGGATTGCTGCATGTGCAGCAGACATCACACAGATCAGTTGAAATTCTTTATCTCCCCAGGCGAGTGCCTCCAGTTTGTGTTTTTATCTACAGATCCTGACACAATGCACCTCATCCCATTCTGTTTATATCCTAGAAAGGATGTGAGGTCAGCGGGAGGGAGAGCCAATTCTCTTCACAGTTATCAGAGGAGTGCAGTGCCATGGGAGAAAGAGCAGAGTTCCAGCACTGAGGTCCTTTTTCATGTTGTGCTTCCGTTCTGTGGCCTCTTGGAATCTGTTTGCATCCCACAAGTGCTGCTGCATTCCTGTTGCAATGTGCACACACAACTCCCCTATGAGGAACTCTTTTGATCTTTTGAATGGAACCAGCAACCAAAGTCTCAGAACCGGCTCCGTGAAGTTTGGGGGTTGAATCTCTTTGGAAGTGACATTTGTGTAAAACTGTGACAGTTTTCCCTTCCTCTGAGGGCTAATTGAAATCCTTGCTTAAATGTAACTTTAAAAATCCCTCTTCCAAGGCCAGGGAATTCACTCTGGCACCAGGGAAGCAGGGTCCTGTGGCAAGGAGTGAGAGCAGAAACTGCATTTCTGCCATGCAGGGCAGGAAACACCCCGAGTGAGCACGTGGGCCTTCCCCCAGTGAGTCCCTCACAAGAAGGCTCTGTCAGGTGATCTGAAGGAACAAACCCAGTGAGGGCAGCAGGAACAATGGGAGCACTTCCCCTGCAGCCCTGCCAAGGCCAGACAAGCAGCTGGTGAAGTGTTTAACCAGAGGTACCCTGGGGAAAAAATGGATGGGAGATGGTGAACAATAGATGAACAAAGCTGGGAGGGAAAGAGCTTTAACAACTTCCTGTGCAATAAAAGCATCCAGTGCTTGTCGTGGTCACTGTGTGTGGACCAGCCAGGGTTCAGGCTCTCTTCACTCTGTGGCACAACACAAGATGCTATTTTGGTTGTTTGTACCCAAGTGCAAGAATTAATCATCCCTTTCCACCTTCTTTTGTTTGGCATTTGTGGGGGAGGGAGGCACGAGTGAAGCCTGCCTCTGCTCCTGTTCCTTCTGACTCATGTTTGCTAATTCCCTTTTTCTTTTTCCAATCACATTCTCTGGCTCATCACAAAAGACTTTGCATCACATGAGGACCTGTTGGAGAACCTCTGTAGGAACTGATGCCAGCCCTTCTCTCTCCCCAAGGCAATGAGGGCTGTCCCTCATTTCTAACCTGTCACCTGTTCTTTTGAGTTTTTCTAAGCCTTCTGATGTTTACATTCTTGTAACGAACTTTCTCACAGACTTTATGTAAATAGTTAATTGTTTTGCATTCTTTTCTGGAGGAGGAGAAATTTGATGGACTGTTGGTTTGTCCAGTGTCATTGGAGAGGTGGCACTTTCACCCTCCAATCCACTGTCACTTTTGGAAATCTGTAAATGTTGGAGTCAGAATTAAACTGCCCTCTTTTTCACCTTGGAGAATCCAGTGTCCACGTCTTTCTAGTTCATGTCCTAGAGTGACACTAACCCATTTCTCTTGTCTTTTTAATTTCCACTCCTTGTTTCTGTGGGCAGACCACGGAATCCAGAGTGAACTTTGTGATCCTGAGGCAGTCTGGGCTACAGCTGGGGGAGCCAGGGGAGGATGGCAGCACCTCCAACAGCAGCAGCAGCAGCAGCAATGGGGGCAGCCCAGTGCACCATCGGAGACGACCAGACCAGAACCACTACAGGAGAAAATCCAACTACCAGAAGGTGGGGCTGGGAAATGAGGCCAAGGTGCTGCTTCTTCCTCGTTTAGCAAATGCATTGTGTTGTTCTGGGTTGGTGTTTTATCACAGAAGGCTGATCAGCAGCTCCATTTCTGCTTGGGCAAGTTTGGGGCTTTTGGTACTGAAGAAGCACTTTGTCATCTATAGGGAAACATAATTTTAAGGGAAAAAGATGACAAAATTTCTTCAGCGTAGATGCAGAGCTGGTGTTTAATCATTTGGTGTCTGGAAAGGGCAATAAGAAATTTGCCATCCATGAGACATTTTGGGATTTGCTTCTTGACACCCATCAAGCCCCGCACACTGAGGGTGTTGCAGTGGCACCCAGCTGAGCTGGTGTGGAGCCAGAGCCCTTTATGGTCCAGGAGAAGAATCCCCAGGTGGCCCCGTGGTGCTGCTGTGACTGCAGTGTCAGTGTGGAGCACAACAAACAGCAGGGGCAAGAGGACAACCCCAGAGTGCTGAACCCAGAGAGATAATCTGTGTGCAGCACTTCCAGCTGAGTGACAGACCTGCTGCAGCTGCTCAGTGGTGTGTTTCACTGTCCCTGGAGCTCAGGGAGTTGCTGTCCTGCCTGGCTGGCCTGTGGTTCCTGCATTTAAATCCCTGAGGAGCATTTACACCCTGTTGTACAGCCTGTGCTCTAATGTGTGCCTTCACTGCAACCTAAACGTTCAGTCAGGGAGGGTTTCACTGCTTGGCATGAGCAGCCTTGAGATGAGCTCATAGCTTGTTCCTCAGTGCAAAATGGCCCTCCTTGGAGGGAGCATCTCCCTGCAGCAAATGGATTTGGGATCATGAGGACAGCACTGACGTTCACTTTAGAAATGCTGCTCTGTATTCCCACCCACAGCAAGGACATGGGAAGCTGACTTTGCCCTCCAGCAACATTGCTGGAATGCTCTGGATGGAGGAGACAAATGTTGTTGTCTTCCAGGACTGGGCTTCTCCTGTTAAATGCATTAATGAAGCTGCATTTTGTGCTGCCATTGCTTTGTAGGATTTGCCTCAGGGATATGTAAGTCATGAGAAGACAGTTGCAATAAAAAAGGAGCCAAAGGAATCTTTGGGAATCACAATTGGAGGTGGAAGGGATAACAAAAACAAACTCCCTATCTATGTGACAAGTGTGCAGCCCATTGGATGCCTCTTCAGGGATGGCAGAATCAAGAGAGGTAAGGGAGGCTCTCAGACCCTTTATCCTTTAGGAACTGTGGGTATTTTCAATGGAAGCTGGACTTGGACACTGAGAGAGGCTGGGAACAGGGTTCCCATGACCCCTGAGGCTGAAATGGGCTCCACAGCCCAAGGTCTGTAATAATCCCATTTTATTTCATCAACAGGGGATGTACTTCTGAGCATAAATGGCATCGATTTGACTCATCTGAACTA